ATGGACGGGATGGGATGGGATGGATGGGATGGATGGGTGGATGGATGGATGGATGGATGGATAGATGGATGGATGGATAGATGGATGGATGCATGGATGGATGGATGCATAGATAGATGGATAGACAGATGGATGCCAGATGTAGCACACATCAGTTTCTTATGGGTAGATGTTTATGCAACAAAGACAACCAACCTTGTCGTTGTCCCAGTGAAAAACCCTCTAAAGAACGCATAAGCAATCATAAACCCAGCAATAAAGTCAGCAACTGCCAAAGACGACACGTAATAAAAAGCAGGTTTGTGTAGCTTCTTGTTCTTTGCAACAGCAACAACCACAAGAAGATTGAGTGCCATAGTCAAAGCACCAATGATTCCAGATGGAATGATGAAATACTGTGCAGATTTTTGTTTAGACAGGATGTCTACTGCACACGCACTAGCAGTCGTAGGTGATGGTGATGGAGTTGTGAAATTCATGCTCAAAATATTGAAAAGTCTAAAATCAGAAAAAGAATCTGAATGAGTATAAATCCCTTGTACTGAGTCCCGAGAGGAATTGTTCTGGGGAACAAAACAATAGGCCGTCTTTTCTTATGCAAAAAAATACATTGTTTTGTCCCCCAGAACAATTACTCTCGGGACTCAGTACAAGGGGTGTATACAGCTATTTCAGAAAAGGTTGAATACTGAATACTGCATACTGAATATTGCATACTGAATAGTGCATTCCAAGACCAAAGGGCATTGTGAGTCTCATTAATTTGAAATTTATTGGATAACAGCATCGACTTATCCACTGATTAAGGATTTATCCGCCGGATAGCGCTATCCAGGCTTCGTACAACCGGGCCCTGAAGCATATAGTTCTGTTTCTAGACTTAGCAGTTTGGGCTTCCTGTGGAATTGACCTCCAAATTTCAGTCCTGGGGTGAAAAATAGCTAATTTATCTAATACATTCATTCCTCATTTGCCGCTGAATGTCTGCTTTCTAAGATAACATATGGTTTTCAAAGCTACATGACAGCAATTACTTGTTGGGTTCCCTGTGGTGTTTTATCATGTATGATACGATATGCATGTGTAATTTATGGCAAAAACTCTTCTCAAAATCGAAACTTAAAGACATATATTCTTGTATAACGAAGGCCTTGATATCAGCACGTTATCAGTTATTCTCAAAAATAGCTTTCTAAAACTAGAAACATACGTTTTTATGATCAAGTCTTTATAATTAACTTATAATTAAGTGCGTTTGTATAAACAGGACATAAAAGATATTGTCGGAAAAAGCTAGTCCTTAACTTGTTATTTTGATCCTTTTGCTGGAATATCCATATTAAAAATTAATGTACATTAATTAATGTAATTCATGTAAAGTTTCTGTATTTTTTCATTATTTAAGACTGAAGTACTTCAAGAACAGATAACTGAAATAGAGTTAGTAGCTACAACACTAAATATAGAAGCAGCTCGCTTGGGGTAATAGAAACTGGGGTAATTATATCCTTTTTTGAGCGAAATTTATTGCCACAAACGTCTGTAATACAAAACGCAACGTCGAGAGACTATTTAGCCGTCGTAAAAAATAGCCGTACTAAAGCAATTTCTGCATATTTATACACCGAATCGAAATATGGCGACCAATTTGAATAACTATTGTTCTGCGCTGACTAGCGACTGACTAGCCTCGTGTTCACGTGGAAACATAAAAGCATTTTCACATGTATAGGAGGCTAGTCGGTCGCTAGTCAGTGCATAACAATAGTTATTCAAATTGGTCGCCATATTTCGATTCGGTGTATGTTGTTTTCTATTTGTGACTGAGTTGTCGTTTATAGTCGTGCCGAAATTCGTACAAACCCCCTCTTTTTCCCCTTGCTTTTTTCTACTTTCTCTATTGAGTATTCATGAATACAAGCATATCAAAGCGCAGAGTTTACTTACCAAAACAATACAATATATATGCGAGTGTCTTTTCCAGTGTATCCCGAAACGTCTTTACTTCATACGAGATTTGATCCTGCAGACTTGTTGCGGTCTGTTGCTTCCTGTTTGAATGATTCTAAAAATAGTCACGCAATCATTGCTGGTATAAGGGTGGAAAAATCACGCGATGAAAGGGCAAATCGTCTTGGCTACGATTTTATTGAACATTGTTTAACAACGTTTATAAGAGAATGACAACGTTTATAAGAGAATGCCATGAATGCCACGAGAGTGCCATGCTGTACGAGCCATGTGATCAAGCAATCGTGACTAGACACTGGTAACAGATCAGTAAGAAAGAAAGAAAGAAAGAAGAAAGTCCAAACCCTTGATAAAGAATTAATAAACAAGAACTCACCCAAAACAACCGACAATTCATTCCAAATTGCTAACATGAGACACTGATTTGAAAAAATTCTTGAAAATTTCTTGGAAACATCGGAACTTTTACTCATTTTGAAAAACGGATATCCGGTTAAAGTTAGGTCCGGATTATGTCGGCTGCCGCTTTGCCGCTGAATGCATCCGTTTTTGTCAACAACAAGTTTTCTTTCTTTTTGGTATCCGCAAGCTCAATTATTTTTCACCTATTTTTCTGCGAAAATAAATTCTTGTTATATTAAATTTATGAAATCGAATTTCATTAATTTGCTTTTTGCTGCAGAAGAACTCGTGTATTTATCCCAGTAATGGAGGCGGCTAAACCTCAGTCATCCTCGCAAGATGATGCAACATCAGATCATGCTACTAAATCTAGTGTCATTCGAGGTCAAACGGAAGAGACTTGCAAATAAGTAAACACACGCCTCCTCAAGAGAGTATAAATTAATCCGGCAGACCAAAGCATTTTCATTCGTCGGCGGCTTGAAGCATAAAATGAAATAAAGTCGAAATCGAACAGCTGAAAGGTAAGCAGAGGGTCGCTGCATCAGTGTCAAAGGAACAAAGGAAAGAAGGGTCGTCAGCTTTTTTTTTGGAGCCTTCATGTGCACTAGATAGTCGCATTTAAACGTATGAATACTACTCCAGCTCAGAGGTCAGTTCAATTTCCCTCATGTTTGTATTTTATATACTTATATACTAGTATTTCTATTTCGAGTCGATTAAAGAAAAGACGAAGCAAAAGTATTCCTGCGTAAAGACGGATGTAAGATGGATGCGATATTAGATTATAATTACACAGGCAATTTGAATCCATTTTGAATCCGACACAAAACTCTGCCACGGTATAAGATTTGCTGGAAATTGGCCGACCCACGTTTATAGTTTGGTTAACGTTGTGATGTCTAAAACTAGGAGGTCTTGACTATAGGAAGTCACAGCAAAGCAAACACTATGCATTTGCATTATAGTTGGATAGTTTAATTAAAAATTGTGTGTGTGTGTGGCAAAGGCAAATCGACGAAGATCGATCAGCTCAACGTGTTGAAGCCTAATTCATTTTCTTCCGGTCACGAGACATCAAAGTCATTCACCAACATCGTACAGGGATTTCCGTGAGATCTATTTTTAAGCCCAAGAGAAATTCGTATGTGTCTAAAATACGAGTTGTTCTCTTGGAATTGCTATGTTACTTTTAGACCTTTTTCATAGTGGTACTTTTATCTCAAAAAGTAACAATAAGTGAAAAACTACCCTTTGATTTCTACTGAGGAAGGCTGAAGCCCGTAACGTCTGTAGCATTAAGGTCAATGTCGAAACACCAAACATATTCAAAAATGTGTTTCAACTACTCTCCTAGTCTTTGTGCGCAGACCTTTCACTACGTCTTTTTCTTGTGGGAAATTGGACTTAGAAGGGGGCTATAATCCCATTGCTCTAACTATCATCCTTCTCTTTCATCAAATACGATTAATCACTTCTTCGTCTGTTAGCCTAGGGGGGAGACTAAGTTATCAGATGCCCATATAGAAAAACTGACCGCATGAAATTAATTTGTGGTGTTACATGTTGCGTGAAAAGTATCATACACGGCGACGCTGTAGCCATGCATGACATTCTGTGGTCTTCTCAGCTCAACATAAATGTGCCCCGGTGCCCGTTGTGTCACAAAACACCACTTCATCCAAATCTAGGATTTTCACCCATCCATTGCAGCGATAAACAGTATAGCGGGGTAGACCCGATAGGATCTGGGACCGAAACTGGTTACGGTTATTAATCACAGAAATCATAAATAGTGCCTTCTTTTTCAGGTGTAACGCGGACTTGTTTTTGTCTTCAGTGAAGTCAACCATGGAAGAAAAGTGGCAGCAAATAGCAAATGACATAACATCAGGCGAGACAACATCAATCAGTGACAAAGGATCCCTAGTGGTAGTGGGGTCGGGGATTATGTGTGTCAGTCAGTTCACCATCCAGGCTCTTTGTCACATTAAAGACGCTGATAAAGTATTTTATCTTGTTTCGGATCCTGTCACAGAGGTAAGTAGTATCATCTAACGATATATATTGCCACTCTAAAAGCCATTTTCCTGCAGCGCAAAGCCAGAGTATTAATGGGCATGTCTAACTTGATCGGCAGGTCAAACTAGCCACACAATAATCATACGATTAGGCACTCGACTCAAAAGACAATCTAAAATCAGATTTGATCTCACGAGTTTTGGGAAGCACGGTTGGCGTAACAGTAGTGCACTAGCCTCTCACCTCAGGGGTGTCGTGTTCGATTATAGTTTGTTTGACTTTCYCTAAATGCGACGGTTTTTCCATGGAATTTCCGGCTTTCTTAGTCCCTCCACAAAACTTAGGCTGCGTTCATAATGAATGGCAGAGGGGGAGGGGGGAGGTGAAATTGAGGGGGGATTGGGAAAATTTTGGTAGGAAGAAGGAGGGGATGGGAAAATTTTTATCAGAAAAATGGGGGGAAGCACAATTTTTGGAAGAAGCTACAAGCCTTGCTTGGGGGGGATCGTATTTTTTTGCATGACTTTAAGAGGGGGGCGTTAAGAATTATTCTGGACATTTCAAATTTTGACATCCACCCCCCACCCGCCCCCCTCTGCCATACATTATGAACGCAGCCTTAGTGCTCCGGCTGATTTTGATCGGCCCACGCAAGGGTTGTTTTAGGGTTCCATAAATTTGAAAGTTCCAAGTTTTGCAAAGCAGTACACTTGGCATTTTCACTTTCTTTAAGGTTTACATCCAAGAGCTGAAGCCTGAAGCCATAGACCTGTTTGTTCTTTATGGAGAAGACAAAGACAGGCACGAAACCTACGCACAGATAACAGAGGTTCTCCTTCACTACACCAGACGAGGGAATAAAGTCGTGGCTGTTTTCTATGGCCATCCAGGTAGGGTTAAGTTTAATTTTGGAAGGATTTGATTTTGGGAATGGCTAAATAAATATTTTATATTAAGTTTCATACTTCATCGGTCAAAAAACCGCTTCAAATTGCATCGATACCCTGAAACGACTTCTGGGCTGATCTAAGTCAGGGCAAGGCTAACTCACAGATCAAACCTGAAACAACCAGCTCTGGGCTAATCTAAGTCAGGGCATGGCTAACTCACAGATCAAACCCTGAAACAATCTCTCGGCTGATCTAAGTCAGAGCTAACGGCTAACTTACAGGTCGAATTGGAATTTAGCGTTAGGTTTTGTGGAGGGAGAAAAACTGGAAAAGCTGGAGAAAAAGGCCTCAAATCAATGTAGAGACCTAACAAACTTTACTCATATGGGATGACGAGTCGATCCAGGAATCTAACCCTAGACCCCAGAGGTGAGAGGCGAGTGCACTACCGCTACACTACTCTTAATGTCCTTAATTTTACTAAGCCTGACTTTTATCTATTTCTTTGCTGATCAGCAACGTTCTCTTCTGATCATTTTTTTTTTTTCTAGGGTATTTGGTCAATCCTGCCCGACAAGCAATCAGGATCGCTCAATCAGAAGGGCTTTCTGCAACTGAATTGCCTGGTATCTCCTCTCTAGACATTATGATATCAGAACTCGGTTTTGAGCCCGGAATTCCTGGCCTTCAAGTCTTTGAAGCAACAGATCTGCTCATGTACTCAAGAAAACTTCTGACAGATTGCCATGTCGTCATCAATCAAGTCGGTTGCGTTGGTGATGTCACTTTTCACTTTGGCGGCTTCCCAAACCCCCACTTCCCAGTCCTTATAAAATACCTGATTGGTTTCTATGGCAACGATCACGTGGTGTACCATTACATAGGGTCCCAGTTCCCAGTCTGCAAATCCCTAGTGCAGACTTTCAAACTTGCAGATTTACTAATGCCAGATAACGCGGCTAATATTCAAAGTATGTCTACGATGTACTTGCCACCTTCGTGTGAAGGAGTTCTGAACCTAGAGATGGCTAAAAACATTGGAATGGTCACAGCAACTAAAGCCAAATTCCCGTCGACTGAAAGTACAGAGGACATTAAAGAACAAGGGGCTGTAAAGACAAACTACCCATTCAAGGATATTCAAGCAGAAGAACCGAATTCCAGACTTAAAGGGTTTTCAGCGTGGTCAATTCCCCAAAACTACAAGCCGGCTAGGAACTCTCCATTGACCAAATACCTTATAGACGTTAGCCAGTCCCCAGAAAAAGTTAGAGAATTTCGAAAAGGAAAGGGCTACCCGTCTCTACCTGAATACCAGGCCAAAGCACTCAGAACGCGGGATTCTGATTGGATACGATTTTCATTGGAGAATGACCAATCCTTTGCTGAGACGGTCATCATGAAGACAGCACTAAAGAAAATATCTGGAACCTCAGAAGTGCGCAACAAAGATGATGGATTAAGGACAACCATTCCTACCACCGAAGCAACAAGAAGCCCCGATTCTGAGATTGTAGGATCTGACAGAGCACTAGTGGAGTCTAATGGACAACAGCAGGTTGATGGGGCACCAATTACAGCCAAGCCTACTATAAGTGTACCAAGAAAAGCCAATGCTGTGATTGCAGAATCTGATAGAGTATCAATGGATTCTAATGGAATACACCAGGTTGATGGGACTACCAGTGCACCAAGAAAAGCTAATGCTGTGATTGCAGGATCTGATAGAGCATTATTGGATTCTGATGGANATGGGACTACCAGTGCACCAAGAAAAGCTAATGCTGTGATTGCAGGATCTGATAGAGCATTATTGGATTCTGATGGAATGCACCAGGTTGATGGGTCACCAATTACAGCCAAGCCTACTATCAGTGTACCAA